GATCCTGATAGAGCTATCCAGTAGAAATAATTATAGTTTAGTTTAGGTTTCCTTCTGTAGTAACACTGGAGCAATAAGAGATGATCCTTACTGGACCTCTAGAGAGAACAGTTTCGAACTGATAGAGCTATCCAGTGTAAATAAAGTTAGTTTAGTTTAGGTTTCCTCCTGTAGTAACACTGGATCAATAAGAGATGATTCTTACTGGATCTTTATGGAGAACAGTTTAGAACTGATAGAACTATCCAGTATAAATAAAGTAAGTTTAGTTTAGGTTTCCTCCTGTAGTAACACTGGACCAATAAGAGATTATCCTTATTGAACCTCTAGGGAGAACAGTTTAGAACTGATAGAGCTATCCAGTATAAATAAAGTTAGTTTAGTTTAGGTTTCCTCCTGTAGTAACACTGGATCAATAAGAGATTATCCTTACTGAACCTCTAGGGAGAACAGTTTAGAACTGATAGAGCCATCCAGTATAAATAAAGTTAGTTTAGTTTAGGTTGCTGCCAATGATTGATGGCATTTTGTCTTTGCAGAAAGTGGTACCTGGGCAATCATGGATATCATCAAAAAGGAACACACGACAAAAAAGGACAACATTGCGAAAGCTACAGTCACCTTTGTCGTCCGCATTCAACGTAAAGTCTTCTACTACTTCGTGTACCTCATTGCTCCGTGTGTCCTCACAGCTATACTGGCAACTCTGATATTTTACCTTCCCGCTGCAAGTGGTGAACGTATGGTCGTTGGCTGTACCATCCTTCTCGCATTGTCCGTGTTCTTTTTACTTGCCACAAACTACATCCCGGAGACATCTGAGCATGTCCCTCTGGTTGGCAGGTCTGTGCGTTGACTGGCTTGCACACGTAAAAACGCACAAGTTGTAACAAACCTGCAGCAGACTTGTAGCAATGCTGTTCCAACAACTTGTCAACAGGATGTGTTCGCACTGCTTGTTCCCAGCTTGTTAACAAGTTGTCAACGGTTTATTGACATCTTGCTACAAAGTTGTTGAGCTCACTAGACTTGTCACAAGTTGTCCCAACAACTTGTTACCGTCCTGCAATTCATCAATTTGTCAACAAGTTGTGAGTGACAACCTTGTAGCAACTTGATAAAATAACAGCATTGTTACAACTTGTAGACAGCTTGCTACAAGCCTGTTGCAAATATATCTTCTTGACAAGTTGTGAGACTTTTACATGTGTAGCTTTCAATAAGTTTTGCGGGGCATCAGATGAATATAGACGATTGTATGTGCAAGAACTACATATCACAATTCTATTTATTTGCCTCCAAATACAAGACTTCTACATATAATGAAGAGAATGAACATACAGGCCTTTCTTGTATTTTCAGCTTCACTTCTAAATACACAATCTTTATTTAGGTATTATTCTATGGTGATAGTTGAGATATGTATTGCATTGGTGTGCACAGCCTGGGTCCTCAGATATCATTATCGTAATCCCGCCATGGGGAAAATCCCAAGATGGATTCGAGTAAGTAAATATATGATAGTAAATACCATTGTAAATACAGATACAAAACCTGCTTCACCTTACGTTTCTTTTGTTATTTTAGGTGTACATTTTTGGTTACATCTCAAAGCTGGTTCGAATCAAAGTACCTGAAGAAATGCTGGCCAAAAATACCCCTGTTGATGAAGGTGGACAAGAGTTCTTTTCGCCTTCTCCTGTTTCACTGAGCTAATTTATTTATACTTGATAGCTCTATCAGTTTTAAACTGTTCTCTCTAGAGGTCCAGTAAGGATCATCTCTTATTGATCCAGTGTTACTACAGGAAGAAACCTAAACTAAACTAACTTTATTTATACTGCATAGATCTATCAGTTCTAAACTGTTCTTCCTAGAGGTCTAGTAAGAATAATCTCTTATTGATCCAGTGTTACTACAAGAGGAAACCTAAACTAAACTAACTTTATTTATACTGGATAGTTCTATCAGTTCTAGACTGTTCTCCCTAGAGATCCAGTAAGGATCATCTCTTATTGATCCAGTGTTATTGCCGCAGAAAACCAGACTACCAGGAGATTTTAAAATTCTAATCAGGACGCATACCTCGATCAGTTTGCTACCAATGCCTGGTCACAGAGATGAACGACTGAGCAGGTATCACTACATGCACTGACTACCGTATCACGACATTTTCAGACACAGTCACAGAAGAAGGTCGAAACGAGAAAGTGGAGAAATATGACCCAGCACAAGACAAGCTGAGAGGACTGGCTCTGATGGCGGCGCAAATCACAGAGGAGGAAGAGCTTGGAAAAATTCAGGAAGAATGGCAACTAGCCGCCGAAATTTTGAATCAGCTTTTTATGATTATTTATATCATCGCAGCGTTTCTTACATTCGGCGTGATTTTTATCAATGCACCCGGGATCATTTATTCCCACCCCGAACCCTCCATGGATGAGATAGTTCGAGTTTACTGAGAGAAATTGAGCCATCAGAGTGCAGGGTTGTTTAAAATATTGACCGCATAATGTCTATAGAAACGTCAGCAAACATTAAGGCCATTTATAACACTCGGTTGTTTTGTATATTTGATATACTGTGCCTTGTACTAATACGCACAAAGCTTTGTATTGTAATGAGTTGTAAATAAAGCATTTTAGTACGACTTGTTTCACATGTGTTTTCGTGGGAGTACTTTAAAATTCGCGGTGTGTGTGGAAAGTTGTTGTTGTTATTGTCGTTGTTGCTATTGTTGCTGTTGCGTTGTTGTTGTTGCTATTGATTGTTTTCGTTGTTGCTATTGTGTTGTTGTTGTTACTGTTGTGTTGTTGCTGTTGTGTTGCTGTTAATCGCTGTTGTTGTTGCTGTTGTGTTGCTGTTAATCGCTGTTGTTGTTGCTGTTGTGTTGTTATTGTGTCGTTGTTGTTGTTGCTCTTGTGTTGTTGTTGCTATTGATTGTTTTCGTTGTTGCTGTTGTGTTGTTGTTGTTGTTATTGATTGTTTTCGTTGTTGTTGTTGTTGTTGTTGTGTTGTTGTTGCTATTGATTGTTTTCGTTGTTGCTGTTGTGTTGTTGTTGTTGTTATTGATTGTTTTCGTTGTTGTCGTTGTGTTGTTGCTATTGATTGTTTTCGTTGTTGCTGCTGTTGTTGTGTTGTTGCTATTGATTGTTTTCGTTGTTGTTGTTGTGGTGTTGTTGTTATTGATTGTTTTCGTCGTTGTTGCTGCTGTTGTTGTGTTGTTGTTATTGATTGTTTTCGTTGTTGTTGTTGCTGTTGTGTGTTGTTGCTATTGATTGTTTTCGTTGTTGCTGTTTGTCGTTGCTGTTGTGTTCATGTGTCGTTGCTGTTGTGTTCATGTGTTGTTGCTGTTGTTTGTTGTTGCTATTGATTGTTTTCGCTGTTGTTGATGTTACTGTGTTGCTTCTATTGTTGTTTGTGTTATTGTTATTATTGCTAGTAACGTTCTTGTTCTTGTTGCTATTGTTATTGCGCAGAAACCTGGGTACGAGGTTGGCAATAAAATAGGAAACATTTTTATCTGCAAGTGTTCATCCTCGGACGCAAACGACGGTTAATTCTTTGTTTATGAATACTAATTAGGTTAAATTCGTTTCCAGTTTCCGGTCATCGCTTCGCTCAAATAACAACAACAATGGGAACAAAATTATACAACTAGTGCTCAGAAAATGCTTTATTTTGCGAAACCCTTGCATGATTCCGTGAGAATGACGCTTGGAGATGACTTGTGATTTCTTTAAGTATACGAAAGAGGATTAAAATGGAAAATTTGGTGCGTGGTTTGAAGTACAGAGGCAGAAATCTGACACGCACTTTAGACCAGACAATGCCTGATGTGAAATTGCTCTATTTATAAAGTGCTTTCAGCTCAGCAAATTTGCAGAAAAGAGCGATATGTCGTCCTTAACAAAGATGAAGAAAGAAAGTAAGTGAGTTTATTGATTACTGACACATATTATACACAAGAAGCTTAATTTAAACAAACGAATTTTACTTTTGTATTTATAATTTTGTGATATTTGAATTTAAAAAGTGACACTACTGAAGTACATTTCAAGTTCAATGGTTTTATTAACGTGTTTTATTAATAAACCTTATAAAATAGTATATATGGATTTTATTTATTAACTAGTACATTTTGATGTGTTTTATTTAAAATATAGCTTGTTTAATGATTAGGAATATGTCTTATCAATTGTCAAAACATTTGCGTTTCCCATTTTCAAAACTTGACAATCAGGACGATATTTAATACATTGACATTAAATACTTCTAGTAATGTAATATTTTTAAGCTTTACATGTTATAAATTTGATATAAAAGAACAAAAATTGTACATATAGTTGTTTTTTAAAAAAGGGTTTATATTTCGAGCATGTACAAGTGTTGCTTATCAGGAATTATAAACTAATGGCCTCTTATCTCCGTACCTATTGAATTATTTAAGAGATATATAATGCTCTTGTCTTTGAGAGATATTAGATATGCTGTTGGCTTGCAATATTTTAGCATATATAATATCAGACCTTGTAGATTTTTAATTGTTGTATAGATGTCTTCTACACTTGGCAAAAATTGGCTCATAATGAAAAAAATTGATGTTTATTATTTCCTCAACCAAATACTGAGTTCAAGTTATCCTCTAGATGTCAATGATGCATGACTTCATT